GATACACAGACATGTAGAGATGGAAGATTCTGTGAAGACACAGGAAGAAGATGGCCATTTACAGGCTCAGGAGAGAAGCCTCAGAAGAACCAATCTTGTCAACACCTTGTTCTTGGACTTCTCCAGAAGTCCAAGAAATGTGAGAAAATAAATTTCCATTTTTAAGCCACTCAAATTGTCGTATTCTGTTATGGCACCCTAGCAAACTAATATACCAGATAATGTTTGGATGATCTTTTTGGTTTCTTCCTTTAGTGCAAATGTTCTCTAATCTTTCCTTTGCCTAAAAATGAAAGAGGAACTTTGTAGAATGCAAATCTGGGCATCAAACACAAACATTGGGTCAGCAGATTTGCTTCTAACCAAGGTGGTCTCTAGTGGCATGAGTAGGCCAATATTCTCTTTTTTGGATTCCATAAACCTGGTAGGAAGTGACTCTTCCTTGAGGTAAAACAAAACAAAACCAAAAACAAACAAAAATAACTCTCCCAAATTGATTCAGAAACCTAAGGTCAAGAACTAAAATTTTGAGTGGAGTTTTTATTTCTGGGAATGACATAATCATTTGCTTCAAAGCAGTCATTCCTGCTTGGAAAAGAAAAAAAAAAAAAGCTGCACAAAATAAAGTACACGTAGCTACATGAAGGCATTGGAGAACTACCTAAGTAATGAAGACTGAGGATATGCATAGGCCTGAATCCAGGAAAGAACCAAGTTGGGTAAGCCCAACATCAGATGTTGCTTTTCTCTTCGATGCCTTTACCAATTCCTAAAGAGGCAGCTCTGAGGTGGTGTAGCTGAGTAGTGTTTTTGGCTGATTTATGGAGCTTGAGAGGATGGGAAGGATTGAGGTTCAGGACCCATAAAGAGGGAGAGATCTTGGAAAACACCTTGTACTGACACTTTGAAAGGTTATACTCCAAGAACAAGAGTAAACAGAAATAGGCCTTCGGAAGGACTAAAGCCCAGGTTTGAGTCTTTTCAATGACTGATGAGATTACTGTGAATTGCTAGCTGGGTTGACTGCTAGAAATAAAAGATACATCATTCTGAGCCTGATACAGTCTCTTCAAACTTTACATATAATATCAAGCAAGCTGAATCAGACAAAGCAAAATAAGTACAACAAAAACTAGCAGAAAAGAAGACATGACCTTGAATTTAAATGACAAGGAAAAATCATTAGGAAAAGATACCTGGGAGAACCAGATCATGAAAAGATCATGCAAAGACTTTAAAATAAATGTTATAAATAGGTTCAAGGAAGGAATTCATTGGCAAAATAGAAAATTTCAAATGGCAATTAGAAATGTAAGAAAGAATGAAGAGCAAAATAAAAAGTAAATATGTGGGAGAAAAAACACTTCTGGAATGGTGGAGTAAGAACCTCTGAAAATATATTCCTCCAGAAAAACTATGAGAACTTATAGAAAATGATTAAAACCAACTTTTTTTAGCACTCTGGAAATAAATCAAAGGACTGTAACAGTCTGAGGAATGTATATTCATCAAAAATGACAATCTAGGTAAGAAGAATGAGCTCTGTGGCATTTTAACCTGCCCTATTCTCATCCCCCTCCTCCCACCCCATAGTAGCCTTGAAAGCCAGGGGCTAAGTAACACTGAAGAGGGCGGAATGGATTTGGCACTCTCCAAAAGCCTCATCTCCAGATAATTGTTACTACTACACGTGTCTGGCAGCTACCTGGAACGTCCATTTCAAAGGACTTATCTTTAGGTGAACTGACACAGAATTTGCTCAGTGGGAAAGGTTCTATGCCCAGAGCATTTGTGAAAAAAATTCAGTGACAATTATCTAACATCCAGGTAGCTGACCGAGTTGGTGATACCAGCTGGGGCAAACAAGAGGCTGGCCCAAAAACATAAAAGGAAAATTTGGAGAATAAGATGCTCATATGGAGTTTTAAAAAAAGCTCTGACATAGTCCTGGGGATGTAGAAGGTCAGGCACATGGGCAAGGCTACGGTGTGTCCAGGACAGGAAAGATCTAAGAAGACCTTAATCTCTCACAAAAAGAAAATCAAGCAGAGTATGCTGGCCTTGGTAAATTGAGAAGGCAGAAGTTACAATGCACAGAGGCTGAGATGGCTGGAATTTGTGCCACAGAATACCTAAGAGGAGAGGGCCATTTTGAGTTTGTTCAGAGGTTAGAAATGTGGATTTTATGTTCTTTTGCTGTCTCTCTCCTTCCCAGAGCTTTTTCTCACTTCGGTGGTGTTTTCCTGGTATCAGTTTTCTGGCTCTTCTCAGTCAGAAATACAGTGTGATTTTTTTACAAATGCCCCATTACCACTGGATGGCCTCAAAGACTGCAATTAACTTTAGGCTAAAAGTGCCTCCTTCTAATTGTTCCACTCCTTCCCCTGAGGGTATACTACACATCCAGTTCTGTCTTCTTCAGTTCACTCTCCGTTGCCTTTCTGTATTAGTCCAAGTTTTATAGGTGCTTCTTGTGAGGTGCGTCCTCTGATAGAACATTACTCCACCATTAGTGGAAACCTTCAGATTGATTAATCTCCAGAGTTCTGAAAAAAATTGATACCGATAAATACCTGGTAGAAAATTTGTAAAAAGCAACATCTGTTGTATACATCTAATTTATTCTGAATATAAAGGCACTGATAAGGTTAATGTTAATTTGAACCAGTACATGCAAGGGCATATCAAATATGCCTAAGTCCCCAATTAGCATAAAATACTTAGCCTAACACCCAACAGACAAGAACAACACTGGACTCCCTGCCTGTCTTCAGGATGCACTGATCTTGCTGAAGACAGTTATGTGAGGTTATTATGACCACCTACTTCTGTTTGGGTAGAGAGTACTTGTGAACAAAGGATCAGCTGGAAATAAACAATAGCCAAAGGAAATAGAATGTCTGGTCAAATAATAAACATAAAGTAGTACAGATCTTTCCAGTCTATCAGCTGTCATGGCTTGTTTGCTTAATTGATTGATTGCTTAATTAGTTTGTTGAATGAAAATAAATGCATTTTATAACAGTAAGTAGTTTCCTTGGTTATTTCTTTTAACTGTCATCCTCAGCCAGATCTTTGCTGTAACCTGTAGTAGAATCTAAATTTAGAGTGTACAAATTAAATTGGCAGATGACTTAAATACAACAGCCTTGCAACTCCTGTGCTGTAGCTACCTAGTAGTTAGTTCTATTCCGTTTTTTAACTTTCAAAATTAGATATTATCATTAATAATTTATATAGGCAAGTTGTTTTATACTTATAGACATTAATCATTCAATATTTCTTATGTTCCAACTGTCATCCTCTCATCAATTTTCTTCTTATTGAAGTACATCTGAAGTTCCTCTCATTAAGGTGATAAACATTCAAAGATTTTGATTTCTGAAATGTCTTTACTTCACCCTTGTTCTAGTAATAGAGTTTGGCTGGATACACAATTCTTGGTTGATATGTATTTTCTCACATTTTTTCTTTCTACTATCTCTGGCTTCCCTTGTTAATGTTGAAATTTCCATCATTAATCTGTCTATCATCAGTCAATCTATCATGCCTTTGTAGGTGGTCTCCTTTTGCTCTCTGATGTTTTTAAGATCTTCTTTATTTGTTTGGTGTTTGTATTTTCACTACAATATTTCCAGGTGTATATTTCTTTGTATTTTTCTTGTTTGAGATATACTGGCAGATATTTTTCTTCCACATAATCATTGAGGGACTGAATTCTTTTTGTGTCCCAATGACTCACTTTTCATAGTCTTAATCCAGCCAGCAGAAAGGAAAAGAGACTGTTGGGGAGGCACATTAGCTTTTTAGTATCTTTGGCTCAGAATGACATATGTCAATCATTTCCACTCATTTTTCATTGAGCAAACAGTAGTCACAAGACTACAGCTAGATGCTAGTGGGGCAGCTGCTTCATAATCCATCTTTTTATTTCCAGGTATAGAACACATTTTTCCTCTCTCCAAGGAAAATAACCTGAAGTCACTCAGCTATTACATTATTAGACAAAAGTCAAAGCTCTTTAGGTGATATTCAGTGTAGTAGGCTGAATAATGGCCACCCACAGATATCAGGTCCTAATCCCTAGAACATACCCATGTTACCTTTTAAGGAAAAGAGTCTTTGCATATGTGCTTAAGTTAAGGATCTTGACATTGGAGATTATTCTGGATTATGTGAATGAATTTTAGATGCAATCATAAGTGTCCTTATGAGAGAGGGAGAAGGAAATTGAGACAGAAGAAGAGAAGACAGAAAAGGAGAAGACCATGTAAAGATGGATGCAGAGATTGGAGTGATGGGACCACAGGAAAGGAATAACAGCAAACACCAACAGCTGGAAGAGGGAAGGAATGGATACTCCCCAAGAGTTTCTAGAGGAAGCAGAGACTTGCCAACACCTTGATTTCAGCCCAGGGAAATTTGACATTGTACTTCTGGCCCCCAGATATGTAAGAGAATAAATTTCTGTTGGTTGAAGTCACCAAGTTTGTGATAACTTGTTATACTAACTACAGGAAACTAATATATTCAGGCACTCTTCGTGATCATTTGAGCATCTTTTTGCAGTGGGTCCTAAGGACAGTGAAAAAAATTAAGTAGTCATCAGACATCCTTTATCCTTCTTGGAGAAGAGAGATTAGTCATGGATGCCATATTATCATGTCTGATGTTTTTGGCTTGATGAAACATGCATGAGGAACATGCAAAGTAGGTTTGTCTCCTCAGTGTTTTTTGGGGTCGTCATCTTGCTTTTATAACATAGATAGCCCACAAGGAACTAAGTTTACTAGACTGTGAACTATTATAGTCAATTACAATTGGAGTGTATTTAATCTATCACTTTTCTTTTAGCTGTGATGCTTAAGGAATGAGAGACTTAACCTTGATGGTGTATATAGTGAAAATGATTTTTGAGCTTCCAGTATCTTTTCACCCTACCTCAGCTAATGTCATCCTAATTTCCACTGAGTTAAGTCTCCCAATTTGTGTCATTTTAGTGAGACTGAAAAAATCACAATGCTCACTCTTCCAAGCAAGGAACGGGCATATGACTAAGCTGGAGAAACTGGGCTTCCATTCTGAGGACTTTGACTTTTGAGTAGAAAAACAAGGACAGAAGAGTGTTCGGAACTCATCCTAGAGAGGATGATCAAGTATGTGTGTTGCCTGGAACTCCAGAGAAGCTTTTGGTCCAAGCCTTTCCAGAGCCTGACCCTCAGGCTTTCCAGAACCTGACTTCCTGCTAATATTGTAAGCTGCACCCAATAACATTAAAGTCAATTTCATACTTGCTTAAATTGGACATCATAAGTTTCTGTTGCTTGCAACTAAATAACCTTAAATCTATAAGAAGTTACAAAACTAAATTCTGACATCTTGATGGTATTTTGCACCTGGAGGAGAGGGAGACAGTGTACCTTTTAATGGGAAAATTATGAAAAGAAATGTTAACCTACATATTTATTTGGCTAAAGGCAAAAGTTGTCCTTAATATCTCTAAATATTTTCCCAGTTCCTTCGCTCCGTGTGCTTTAAAATACCTCCATTAGTGATAGTGTTGGCAGCCTTCTATTCTGGCAGGTTCAGAAGTATTTTAAGTTATATAATCTAATATGTAAGCAAATCTACTTCTTTTTAAAAGTACAAAGTCGATCTCATTTTATTTGGCCTTTTTACTGATCAATACCTGTGTAGATATTTCAGCAACATTTCCTCTAAATGAAATTTTCTTTCAAACAGCAGAGATCAACAAATTAGTTTGATAATATTTATTCTAATAAATGGTATATTTATGTTGGCAGTAAGTGGATACTTTAAAAATAATGTCTACTTAAAGAATAACTGTGGGATCATATTTTTTTAAAATAGTGTTTTAGATTTTCTATGTTATTATACCATGATTTTTTTGGAAACAATTTCATGCTTATATTGGCAGGTACTATTGAATTAAAAACTGGGTCTTCATTCAGGGTCCATAAGGAGAGAGGAATCACAGAATTTAAACAAAGAAAGTTTAATATGAAGAATTAATAATTATAACCAATCCAGATTACTTGCCACAGAAAAAACTAAAGAATAATAGAACAGATACAGGGAAAAGCCATTACCTCTAAGCCTGAGAGGCAAAGCACAAAGGAATAAATCTGAAAGAGATACTCCTCCCCTCCAATGGGGCAGTGCCATTCAGCAGAACTCACTGGTGGGGAGGGGGCACCACTGGGTGTCGTATGCCCTGCTGGATATTGTGTGCCAAAGGAGCAAGCCGAGAAAAATGCACTGCAAGGAAGCTTCATTTTTCCAGCTGTGTTCTTTCTGGCCATCTGCTGACAACATTGAACATTGTGTCACCTGAGTAAAGGGAAATGTTTACAGGAGCTATCTCCAATATCATAAGTAGAGCAATGGAGGGTGGATTTGGAAATGAGAGGTAATCAATTGATAACTGGCACAAGATAAGTGAGATTGCTTTCTTTTTCCTAAGTGAAAGCAAAGGATTTTTTTAAACTTGGAATCCATCGATTTATCCAATCAGGGAAATCAGTCCTTGGGTAGAATTTTACATAGAGCTTCATATAGGTGTTTAAACTGCAAAAAATATTTCATGTTTAGGTTTTGGAATATTCCCTTGAAATATTTAGGTTCATTTATGCAATGAAAACACTGGAATTCTTAGTTTTAGTCTGTGAAAATTCTCCGTTGGAGAATAATTTTCTTATAAATGAGACAGCCTGCCCACAAACAGTCCATTCCCTAAGGGGAAAATCTGTGGTTTCTTAAAAATTGAGTTCAGATTGTATTTGTGTGGTTAAGGCCAAGCTGATTTTTATGTACTGCTGATTCATCCAGACATGGAATTGTATCCCATCCCACATGATTGGATGGGAATAAATAGGCCATCAGCTGAGGTTGCATGTACAACACATTGTAAACTGTAAAAGCAGTATGTAAAAGCTGTTCCATAAGGTTTCTGTTTCGACTTTGCTTTCTCTAATGTCATTTAACTCCCATAAAATTGTTCCAATTCTCCTTTCAGAAACGATTCTTACGAGCTGTTGAAGTGACATAGCAGTGCTCAACAGGTGGGCCAATTAACAATTTACTCTTCATGACTCTCTGGGACTATTGGAATTTACTATAAAGTAGCAGATTCTAGATATCATCTGTAGGAAAACTAACTCCTGCCCAAGGGGGTCTGAACATTATTAGAACTTCAGACAGCTGCCACCCCCCACCCACCCAGGACTTTCTCTGGAAATCCTGGCATTTCATCCTACCCTTGTAATGTTCTGAATCCTCATTGTCCAAAGTTTGTTCTGAGGTGACTGCAGAACCAATCAGAGAACTCGACTGGAGCAGAGGTTTGCTATTTCTCAAGATGTTACACAGAAATATGACTGCATCCTAAGAATCAGAAAGAATGTTATATAAGTTCTTTATTTTTGTGCTAAGATTTCCGGAGTTTACCTACCAACATAAGGATTAACCTTATCTCAAAGTTAATTCATAAAGGTTAAGAGTTTCTAAACATCGCTACCATGTTTCCCAATTGTGCACAATCATTTATAATTTAAGCAGAAAGGAAATACAGCATGGGTAAAGCTAAAGTGTTTGCCTCTCGTATTTCTATCTAAACTGTATAGCTGGAAGGGGGGATGTCTCGGATACCGGAGAGTTGAGCATGGGCTGCTTAGCACATCACATGCTGGTTTCTGTAAAGTTTCTGTAACAGTGTTATCTAAGTAGTATAGATTCTCCCTCTTTAAATTAATTCCACCCCCCCAAACTCCTCATCTTTTAATTACTGTAAAAACTGGTTTCAATTTGCTTGCAAGTAATTTTCTGCTTCCTACGTTTTTGTGGTTTGCTAATTTGGAAAGAATTATAATCAGTGTACTCTACCAGAGAAAACTCTGTAATATGGCAGAGTCCAGGGTAGAAAAGTTCCATTTTCTGTGTTTTGGGCAGCTTTCAAGAACTTTATTCACAGTCAGTTGGTCCAGTCAGATGGTCTTATTTGTTTTATAAGACAAGAAACAATTCCTTACAAATATGGTAATATGTTAGAGCTGCTGCATAAGAAAAGAACTAACTCACTCCCTACTTCCCTTCCTCCCTTCCTTCCTTCCTTCCTTTTTTATTTTATATTCAGGTTGAATATTCTCCTTCTTTTTCATTACAGGACCCATCCCTGAGATTTACAAAACTCCAAATAAAACTGATAAAAGTGGAGAATGATAAATTTATCTTTTTATATTCATTTAAATGAAAAATTTAGTCATCCACAATTTTTTTTCTCTTGAGATTAAAAACCAGGTGAAAGATACCATGTTAAGACAAATGACCATGCAACTGAAGCTATCCAATGGTTTTGAAACCCTAGCAGGGTCTGCCAACTCTTGTTTTTAAGAGCGGAGAGGTTTATGAGAACTTTTATAGTCTTATCTTGGAGGGAAAAACAATCTATAAAAAGCCTTGTATTGCTTCTGAATCATGACATTATCTCATAAATAAAGACTCAATAAAATTTGACTATAAAAGGAGAGAAAGAAGGAATACTATTTATAGTGAAATGGTATCTTAAAGACTATCAAATTCAGTGAAATAATTTGGGGCTTGCTTTTCCAAAGAACAAGGTACGGAAAACTCTTTAGGGAGGGAAAGTAGTTTGGAGCAAATACAAAATTAACTATTTAACTTAAAGTTTGATGGCCCACTTGTCTTTTGCGTTGTGTATCATCTTGACTGGAACATGCCCAGATATTTGGCTAAATGTTATTTCTGGGTGTGTCTGTGAAAGTGATTCCAGGTGGGTTGTTGAAGGGTACTTCAGTACTTCTGGGTTAGGGTGAAAATTCAGGTTTTCCACTAAACCTTTGCTGATACCTCCCTTGTCTAGAATGCCTGCTTACTGTTTCCTATGTGGCCTCCACTGGCATGTGGGGCAAGGACAGAGGTGGCTTCATTACCCCTGAGCAGTGCTAAGAGTTCTGACTCTCCACTAGTCCTCATCTGACACCACTGAAGCATGGAGGGGGAGGAGTTCTTTATTACCACAGTGAGGCGGTAGAACCCAGAGTTTACTGACACCTGAAGAGTAGGGTGGAATTCATTAATGCTTGAAGGAGCTGGATTTCCCACCTCCTCACTCAGTCTTCTCCAGCACCACACCAACAGGTCAGGGTCAGGGTGGAAGTCTAGACGTTTCATTTAGCCTGTGTTGACCCAGAAAGGTGGGGTTGGCATGGGGGTTGCAGTTTTTTCTGTGGCATTTGTTTGGTGTTCAGTTGTGATTGTCTAAGATGCCCCTTTCCTGGTCCTTTGGGCAGAGAAAAGTAGACTTGCTGAGGCTTAGTTATCTGTGCCCATTAGCATTTCCTGCTTGCTGGCCTTTTCAGTTACCAGTCTGGGGCATATGAAGCAGAAAGGAAACCCAGGGATCTCACCCTGGTATCATTCCTTGAGTCCACAGTCCTTAGCCAGTTTGTCTTCTTTTTTCGACCATTCAGAGCCTTCTTTTGTTTGTTATATATAGTGTCCAGGATATTTAGCTGTACCTAGTGGGAGAAATAGGGAAAAGTTCCTCTAATCCATCTTTCCAAATTGAGAATGAGTTTTTTAGTGATTAGTTGTAAAGGTATTAAAGAAAAAGAAAGGAAGCTTGAGCCAAATGGGAGTACGATGGAAAGGAAATCATTTAAAAAGCCAAAAAAAAAAAAAAAAGTGAGAGACGGGAGACAGGGATTAATTTGACTGCATATGGTGAAACTGCACATTGGCTGTTGTGACCAGAATGTTCTCACAATGGTATTTCCCAACCATGGCCATATTGTCCACAAATATGTAGACTTACCCCTAAGCTGTCCCTCAGGACAATGGGATGGAAATGCCCAATCGTCAAGCAATAGTAGTGGCTCACCGAAACTTTCTCCAGGATTCTTGCTTAAGTGCTGGGCAGACCTGGCACCAGGGTCATTGCCTGCCTGCTTGGTTATGTGATAAACAAGTGTTGTTTATTTTTTTTCCCTACCCATTTGCAAACTTGACTTCTCTCATTATGGTTCCAGGTAAAAGCAATACAAATCTTGGTGTTGCCAGAAATTCCATTTAAAAGAGAACGTCATGGTTTTACCAGACTTGTGAGCCCTGAGCTTTTATTTTAACCCACATCTCATAACCTCAAAATATCCCAACCTATGCAAATCAAGTTGTTTTTGGTAGAAGGAAGTTCCCCAGAAACCTAAAAATCCCCTGTCCTTCAGTTCTCCAGTGTTCCATCATTGAAGTCACAATTTTCATATTTATTTCATGAGAATCATATCTGATTTTCATTTCTCGCTCTCTTAGCTTAGCCAGCTGGGGTGAGAATTCTCACAGTATGGATTGATGTTTAATATCAAGATAGATTCATGACTGAGAAACCAGTGAAACAATTATTTTAAGAAACTTAACACCAAACATATCACCTGGGACCAGTGTTGAAATTTGCTCTGCATGTTTAATCAGCAAATTAGGGTTTGTCCAGCATGTGTCAAGTATACAGTTTGAATGTGTGCTCCTTTACTCCAGTTTAAGGAGTGAGGCAGGCCTTAAGAGAATTTGAGGCAGTTGGCAATTTTCTTAGATATCTGAGTCCTACACCACAGAACCTCATTAGTACTTCTGCAGAGGATGCGAGAAAAGCGAATGTGTCACAAGTCAAGAACTGGACTTGAGGGGTTCTGTTTTCTAGAAAAAATGCAAGTAATAATAATACACTCATATTGTCACATATCAGCATACCTAGATGTTTCCAGGTACACATTAAGTGAATTTATGAAAACCTCTATGGAGAATTACAAAAACTTGCCATGGTCTCTGTCTTGCTCCACCATTTCAGTGTGGGTCATGCTTGAAGGAGGGAGGATATCTCCATAGGCTACTTGTATTTTGAAATAAAATAGAGATTGTTGGTTGTTCACTACAAGTATTTGTACTTCTGAAGATTTCGATACCTAGAACAGTGATTGGTATATATAATAGGTATTCAGTAAACATGTGTTCATTGACCAAATTCCTCACTATCAAAAAATAATTTTCAGTATCACAGTTCCCCAAATTCTGGGTAGAACTCAAGCTTATCACCAAGATCCTAAGAGATAATGAATGCAGTTCTTAGGTGTGTGATTTATTTGACAGAAAACTGCAAATGTCATGGGTTAATATTTGGAAATATGAACAAAGATTCTCTCACCTTTGCTATTTTTTATATTTTTCTCTCAATCAGCTAGAACATTACTTATTTCCAAAGTATTTAATCAATTAATGATCTTTTAATCTCTTCAACATTTTTTTTTTAAAGGAGTATTTGATGAGTAACACAAAACTTTCTACCTGCCCATTGAAATAATAAAGATTCCTGGAGCTGGGGTCGGGGGGAAGGGGAATAAGATGGAGAAGCAATGAGTGGGTAAATAATGGGAATCCTTCAGGAAAAGGGAGATGGCTCCTTGTCTTGGATGAACTCAGAGATTCATTTAGACATTCCAGATGAGTTTGAGGGATTGGAGTACAAGTGATACCTGTATTCTATTTCCCAATACCCCTTGGAGACATCAGCATTACAGAATAGAAACCACTGTTTAGCATATTAATCAGATGAGTTAGGATACACTAGCCTGTGGTAAAAAAAAGAAAAATAATGACTTAATCTAGTAATCTAGACTTAATAGTAATGGCTAGACAAAAACATAATATTTCCTTTTTTAAAAATTTATTTATTTATTTATTTATTTATTTATTTATTTATTTATTTGAGAGAGAGCAAGGGCAGAGGGAGACAAGCAGACTCCCTGATGGATGTGGAGGCTGACCCAAGGCTGGATCTCATGACCCTGATATCATGACCTGAGCTGAAATCAAGAGTCTGACCTTAACAGACTGAGCCACCCAGGCATCTCCAACAGAAGTCTATTTCTTGATCAATAGCAGTCCTAATGGGTGTTCGAGATTATGACTCTCATTTAGGAAGCAAGGCCCTTTCCAGCTTGTATAGCTTGTATCTCTGCAACTTCTAGGGCCTTGTCTGTCTGTGTCATGACAACAAAGGGAGGAAGAACATAGAAGAGCCTGTTTGGAAGGTTTGGGGGCTAGACTAGAAGTGGTCCATATTATCTCTGCTCATATATCTCATTGGTTAAAACTCAGTTACATGGTCACATCTCTCAGGAAGAGAGGATGGAATATTTGTCCAGGAAAAAGATAAAATGAATTTAGGTGGATAAATATTTCTGTTCAACTGATGACAACACACACTTTGTTCACACCCTAAGTGAGAAACAAAGAAATAGAAACATCCCCTGAAACTAAGAGGAGCAAGGAAATTATGAGAGATCATAGATAGCCTGTCATCCTGTAAGTCTCTGTGACTTGTGAGATGAAGAGCAGCAGGATGATCCTACATACCCGAAAAGACGTGGGAGGTAGCCTTGAGAGAGGATGCATGAAGAGGCCTCTTGAATGGGAAGGACGAATGACTTAGTGACCTGTTTGGACAGAAATCGATGGAAGATGAATTATGGATTTTTCAGCCAATCCCAGGAGATGCCAGCCTGTATAGAAAGTAACACAAGGGCAAGATGCCCAGCAACTCCCTCCCACCCACCCACCCACCCATTCATTTAATAATGCATATTAAATTTTTGTGATCTGACTACTTAGAAGCTTGTTATAGAAAATAAACTAAGTAATAGAAAAATAAAATTGCATTTTGTGCACACCTGAATTTTTATACTGTGTTTTGTACCTATCACACATAATTAAATATTTAATCGTATTGCAAAAGAAATTAAGGATTTGTTAAATTTTTGAATATGTTAGCTCTAAATGCTCTCATTGGCCTCTGAAAAACTTAACTGACATAGATAGTTCCGAAATGTGTATAAAGTAGTCATATACCTTAAAGTACATTCTTTATCATATTATCGTATGATGGAT